GAAAGAGAGAGAACTTCAGACTCAATCAGACCAACATCATTCAGGGCTGCCCACCTATCCTGCTCAAAGCATCAGCAACGAACAGTCAGTACTGGCAAATGTGCTACAACAGTAAATTTCAAGAAGCAGAGTTGATATCAAGGCACTTTCCAGTAAAATACTTGTAGGTCAGCTGAACATACACAAAGAACAGAAACCAGGTGGTTACTGAGTTGCTGAACGGAATATACTATAAATAAAGACCATACTGCAACTACAAAATCAGAAGAACAGAAAAGTATCACTTGAGAGGCACGAAAGCAATGAGTGGAGTAGTCAGAAGTAGTTCTCATGCCAACTGGATTTGTGGGGAATTTTTGTGTTCTGTTTTTTTGAAAAAGCACTTTTAACCAGTAGCCCAGCTCTTCAGGCTCAGATCGTAGCAGAATCTTCCATTTATGACTGTTAAACTTGGGTTCGGCAAGTGTTCCCAATCCTAGCAGTGCCAAAAGCTCAACAATTCCAGCTGTAAAACATGGGGTTTAGCACTGTTGAGTCAGCCCAGCATGAGCTGCATGGTGGTGCCTGACCTGCTAGCAGTGCCCCAGGATGTACAGGACCTGTGCTGCTACCAAAGAGAATGGTGCTGGAGACCCCTATACCTTTCATTGGAGGTGCTTCTCTCCCAGCAGGACCAAGCAACTTCACCCTCTTCTTTCCACGCTTAGAATCAAAGATCTCCTGTATTTTTAGTACCAGCTGAAATCCAAAGCAGAAGCAGAGGTTAACATGGGGTCCAGAAAAGGGTCCAGGTACCAACATGAATGCAGCCCAAGAGCTATCATCTCGCACCACAACACTTGGGAAAGCCTACCCAAGTCCTGCCAAGGACCCTGGCTCAGAGACTGCCTGGATAATGAACGAGCACAGAATTTATGCTACAAGAGAGAGTACTGTTAGCACAACTCAAAGCTGACACCAAACTGTACAAGCATTCCGGAAGTTATCATACTTTCTTTACAAAACAGATAGCAGAAGCAGAAAACTGTCTGGCATCCGATCTTCATTTCCTGCTAGAGAGGCCAACTGCAAAGGCACTTGCAAGAGTATCTTCTAAACCCTCCACCACAAAGGACTCTGAACTCCACATACTCTCAAGCATCCCAATTCTTTCCAAGCCCAGAAAAAGCAGAGCTCTCTCAATATAGCTTGGGGTTTGTTTTTTGTTTGTTTGTTTGTTTGTTTTGTTTTTTAAGTTTGCTGCTGTAGTTGGATGTCAAATAGCTAGAGTAAGTTCTTCAAAGCACCGTGTCGGGCACAGAACAAGGCTGCTCTAAGCACAGTCCTTGTCCCAGGGTAGTTTGCTAAAATGAAAGGATTATGTACTTTCATTTTGTGTAGGTGAAGAAAGACAGTGGGACAGAATAACGGGTCTATGCTGCAGGGACACCACAGACCTGGTCCACGGGAAGAAAAAAAAATGAGGAAAAACATAGTCCAATGCAGACTAAGCTACAGACATGAAAGATGTTCAGCATTTAGACACTCCAAGTCAATGCTGTTAACCTTCCTTCCACTGGTCACAACAGCCTTAAAACCAAAGTCTTGATAGTGCTACTCCTGTCACGGGCCTCTCTGCACTGCCCCCCTCAGCTACCAGATATACAACACTGCATGTGGCTCCTCGATTCTGCATGTCAAAGACAGCTATCACTTCACTGTGAAGAAGGATTTATGCTAAATGCAGTGAGCAGGTCAAGTTCATTCTTGTCTCAAGTTAAGAATTCATTAAACACTCCCACTGAATGTAGGAGGGTGGGGCCCAGCCATTTGTCACCACAAATACTGCAGAAAGAGGGAGATATTCAGCAAGAGAACCTGTTTTTCAGTTCAAGCCTTGATCCTCAGCTCAGCAAACTAGGCTTAGGCTCTTCTCCTTCTGAAATCTATTTCTCCCTATTTTCTGTGTTAGCCAGTCCTCCTAGCAGGATGAGGCTGCAAGGAAGAAAACAGCCCACAGCGGAAAGCAATGCTTCTGCAAAATCTGCCTTCTTTCCCCTGTACCATCCAGCCTGACCTAGAGGATTTCCATTTCTGTTTCGATTTTTGTGCAGTTCGGTCACCAGTGAAAGATATTGGGTGTGTTTAAGGCAGATATGTGTTTTTTAAGCAGTAAGTAAGTTTTTTCTTTCTAGACTCCAATCCTTTTCTCAATCTCTTGAGCAATCTTGGCTCAATTCCTTGTAAGCAAAAACACTAAAGTGTGCTTCCTGCACGTAAATTGTTACCAGATTTTTGGAATAGGTTTGCTTTCGGAGAATGTTTTATTTTCCCCCTCCAAATGAAAGACACTCCCCATCACAGTATTTTTATAATCTTGCCATCTCCTTCCTGATTTTCCAGACCCACAGTTTGTTTAAAACCATATACAGAAGTTGCTTGTTACTCTGAAGTACTTAAATGTTTGGAAACTATTTTGCAGCTGTCCAACACCACCTCACAGTCTTGTGTAGTTTGAGCAAATATACACAATTTTCACAAGAAATAAAGATCTGCAGAAGTTAAATGATTTTACCATGGCAAAAGTTGTTGTCACTACCTCAGCTGGAATATTTGAGTCCTATGCACAAAGTACCACTACAGTGGTAGCTGCAGCTGTCCTTCTAGAGCACGTGCTGCATTTTATCTCTGAGGGACATGAGCTGGTAACCAATACTAATATCTAGAAAGATTCCCAACACATCAAATGAGAATTACAACTGAGTCCTCTATTATGAAGGTGGATTAAAAGCCTTTCTCACTACTCTGGCCTCAGAAGCATATCTGCCTTTGCACACAGGCAGGAGGGAGCAGCCAGAGGCAGTGGAGGACAGAACTGTATGAAGGCTTTGTGAAATGCACTTACACCTAAAAGCTGCTCTTCACCTTCAGACTATGAAACAGTTGCAAGGGTATGTTCCTGATGGCAGGTCAAGAACTCCAAGTCAACTCCAAGAACTCCAAGTAACCAAGGGCTCAGCCAGCTCCCCACAGCAGCCCCACGCTGTTAGCCACCTAACAACCCAGTGCCTGCAGTGAGAGCGTAAGGATTAGTCTGAAAAGTCATCAGGAGCAACGGACACATACACACAATTGTACAGAGCTGGCCCTTTAGCCCACAGAGAGCTTCCTTGCATTCCTGTGCCGCATTCAGCACAAGAACAGCATCACTACACTTCACGGAAGCATTGGGAACAAGGCTTAAATGACAAAGCACGAGGAAAAGCTAGTATTCACACACAGCACTGATCTCCAGGTCAACACCTAGTACTCAGTTTGCAGATTCTTGGTCAACAAAACTGCCACCACCCCAGCTAGAACTGTCACTGTTTTTTGATCCACAAACACCTGCCCTGCTACTTGGAGGGGAAATCGTTCGAGCAGGGTCACTTGTCCACATACACAGCAGTGCTAAACAGCATTCAGGTGCCAGACACACAGCTTCATGACCACTTACAAAGCACTTAAAAGGCGCTAGATAAAGCAGCAAGAGCTTGAAATGCCATGCAAGAAGTAACATTTCATGTTTAATTCTCACCCAGGGCAAGCTCCTTCTCCTGCTAGCAGCCTCTACTGCTCGGTACAGCTTCCACTCAGTCAATGTGACTGGCAGGGTTGTGTCATTCACCATTTTCCCTTGGAAAGTTGTCTGGGAGGGCTTTAGATCAAGAGTCTTGCGACTGAGGAAACGAGGTTTTGGGGGAGGCTAGAAAACAGAATCAGAAGAGATAGTTAAGCATGGGATTATGCTTTGGTCCAAGCTCAGAGTCAAAGGAGTCAGATTACAAATTACAAACGTCCTGCAGCCTCCTGCTCTACCAAGGTCTCCATCCCACCCCCCACCCCACATACTCAAGCACCTCATCAACACTCTCTTGTTCCTATTCTTTTGCTCCATAGCAGCTTAATCACAGAATCATTAAGGTTGGAAAAGACCTTCAAGATCATCAAGTCCAACCGTCAACCCAACATCCCCATGCCCACTAAACCATGTCCCAAAGCACCACATCCACACGTTTTCTGAACACTTCCAGTGACAGCGACTCCACCACCTCCCTGAGCAGCCTGTTGCAATGCCTGACCA